GGAACTTTTTTGGTTGAATTAAAGTTGCCATTGAATTATAGTCGGTTGAATTAAAGTAAATTGGCTGATTAGGATTCAAAAACTGTTTAATTAATGTTGGTTGAATTGAAGAAATTATACTGTATTTGTTGTTGGCCTTGTGAATCATTCTCATATCAAAATTAGAAACAAAAGGTTAATTTTTTTGCTTATCCCTAATACACATGGTACAAGCCATGATAATCATGTTGGGTAGAAGTAGGCGAGACTGCTTTTACTGTAAGTGCACCACATGTAAACTTTGCACGTACAAATGTGCCAGAGCCCCATTTGGTTACTTGCACTTGCTGGGGGGGTTGAACTTTTGCAAGAATCGGGGGCCATTGGAGCATTTTTGGAGAAACAAAAGGTAACAAGACCAAATCTAAATTAATAAATTGTATTGTGATGTTTCAGTAACAGCATTATCATCATCAGACCAAAGTACTGAATAGTAGAGGAGAACTTCAGATCCTGAATTCTCTTTAAAATATAATCCTCAAGTGAAGGCTCGGCATGCTTGATATTCACTTTGGAATTCATTTTCTTCAGCTCATAAGAAGAATAACTTCTTAAGTTCATTGAAGTCTATCAAAAATGATAAGGTACAATTTGGACTATAGATTATAAACAAAAGGTAACAAGACCAAATTGTACCTTATCATAATATTCAAATTGTATCTTAGCACTTCTCTTAACAACCAGTCAAACAATTAAATTGATGTGAAAAATAGTACAAAAGTGAATTTGAACTTGGATCAGGTGGATAAATTGAGAAAAGGGCCTTTCCTGATCGTGCAACTAAAAGTTGCTGATGGCTTGCGCCATCTATCGGATTAAAAATCAACGATTAGTCGATATTTATTCTAATAGATGGCACAAGCCATCAGCAACTTTAGTTGCACAATCAGGAAATGCCCTTTTCTCAATTAAATTGATGTAATAATTAACCTTTACAAGGTAGCAAGACAAGATCCAAATAAGTAAATTATACCTGATATTTTTTGGTAACAGCATTGTTACTAAAACATTTCATATACTCATTTGGTCTTGTTACCTAATGAGTTAGTAATCTATATCAGAATTTCCCTGGATGAGACACTTGTGATAAAGGTATTCTCCAAAGAGAAACATTCCTTAGTAATTAAAACAGAAACAGTCACACTCTACAAAGTGACCCCAATAAAGAATTAATAATTCCAAATTCTATCCACTTTATAAACACTTTCACTCTGCATTAAAAAAAAAGAATAATATCTGCTAAAAATGGCCTTTTTCTATGTCTGTATTATGGCACAACTTAGGAAAACTTCAACATTTTTCCATGAGAATCATAGCAGGTTTTACAGAAAGAAAGACTTAGTAGAAATTACACACCCTCCGCTGTAAGTTCATCGACAAGCTTTTTTGGAGAAACACAAAGACATGGTTACAACAAAGGTAACAAGCCCGCTGCATGAAAAGAAAGGATGGTAGACACAAGAAGCTGTAAGAACATCGACAGAGGGATCACTGCTTGGCGGACCGTGGGGCAGGTGGAGGATCTGGCTTCGTGGTTGGAGGAGAGGCCCTTAGGGTGGCAGTGAGGGCACTTGGCAGTGCGAGGATTGGAGAGGGATGGGCAGTTGGGACCGTCATGTCGTGGGAGGCACAGTGGAAGCATTGGATGGTCGGGCTAGAACACCTGGAGGCGCTGTGACCAAACCTACAGCATCGGAAGCAAACTCGAACCTGAGAAGAGGCCTTGAAGTGGTGAATAATGTTGTTGAACCCCCGAGCTGGCCATGGAAGCCTAGGGTGCAAAAGGTGTCAGGGTCCACCTCCAGGAAAGCTGTGAAGGAACTGTTGCGTGAGGAGGAGTGGTGGGCGAGGCAGACAGTCCGGGGACTGGGGAGGGCTGGGATGGAGAGGATGGCATCCACCAGAGTAGAGTCTGGTGTGCCATCGGCCACCCTGAAGATGCAGATCCGGGGAAGGAGGTTCCTGGGGTTGCGGACCTCGAGGGAAAGCCCCAGTTTGGAGGAGAGGGAGGCGCACAGGTCGGGGATGATTTTGAGGTTGGAGGTGTGAAGAACTAGCTTCCCCTTGGTGCAAAGGGAGGCTCAGACACTGGAGGAGAGGTCGGGCTGGATGACTTTGACCCTGGCAAGTATGGAGGCAGGATCAGCCCCGGGGTCACAGAGTGGGCTGGGAGAGGTGGAGCGAGGAGGTTTGGTCCTGGAAGGAGCGGGGACAGTGGAAGGGGAGGGCTAAGGTTTGGAGTGAGGAGCTTTTTGACTGGATGCTGGCAGGGTAGGGATAACCCCTCTGGGGGTAGAGGTAGGGTGCTGGAGGGAACCCCGGCTTGAGAGGTAAGTACAAGATGTTTGAGAGGACTCCCTGTAGATGGTGGCAGGGGGGGGGGGGGGGGAGTCAACCTGCACCACATTAGCCATGGAAGGTGGGGTAGTCTTGAGAGGCTGGGGGGAGTGCTCTTCTAGATCTAGAAGGTGAAGGTGGATTCTTTCGCCCTCCATGGCACATTCCCAAAGGGTGCGGTACAAATTAAGAACAAGCTCCCTCCTGAGAGAGAGAAGTTCATTTATGTGGGAGGCAAGTTCTGGGGAGGAGCTGCCATTAACAATAAGTTGTCAGCTTCTTCAATGGTATGATGGCAGAGAATCAGATCAGGGGGCATCCCGCAGGATGTAGTAAAGCTTCTCAGGAGCCGTAAGGAAGCATGACTTTTGGAAGACATGGGGAGGCAGGCAGAAAGCTCGGGAAGCAGGAGAAATTGGCAGTAAAAACCGACCACTTACAGTGAGGGTAAGGGCTCCGTCGGCAGCTCAGGAGAGCTCTGAATAAAAATTCAGGAGGAAATGGCAGCAGAATTTGGCCAAGAAAAATGTAGTTGAGAGGTAGGAAGGTACCGTGGAGCTGAGCGGGCTGCCAGGGCAAGGAAGTCACTGGGAGCAGGAGGTGTTTCCAGGCTGGAGTCAGCGATGGAATAAATTCTATCTACAGGGTGCGGTAGATAAGTAATGAGACTGGCCGCCGCGTGGCGCCCCAGTCGCTCGCAATGCGTTCTCCATCTGCAGGTCACGTGGTGTGGGGGATCTGAGCTAACAATAGAACCGGTTCGCAGTCGCGTCGTAGCTCTGGCGCAGTGAGGGTCGAGCTTCGCGTGCCCGTGACACTTGTGAAAACGCTGAAGATGGATCGCTTGATAGAACAGCGGTATGCAATCAATTCGCTTGGGCAAAACTGCTTCGGAAACTTTTGCTATGATTACGGAGGCCTACAAAGAGGACGCCCTATCAAGAGCCCAAGTGTTCCGGTGGTTTAATGAATTTAAAAACGGGAGGGAATCGTTGAAGACATGGAACAATCTGGACGCCCTTCAACGAGTCGTGTGGATGAAACGGTGGCCAAAGTGAAAGAACTCCTAGACTCCAACCGTCGTTTAAGTCTCAAAATGATCGCCAATGAAGTCTCCGTGAATAAATTTACGGTTCATCAAATTGTTACGTAAGATTTGATGATGAGGAAAGTTTGCGGAAAATTGGTTCCCCGAGTGCTCTCACAGCGTTTCTCGTGACCTCCTATTTGACCCGAATTGGAGTTGAAGTTCTGCCACAGCCACCATACAGCCCTGACATGAGTCATCCTGATTTCTTCTTATTTCCGAAAGTAAAAAGATGCCTGATGGGTCGTCGTTTCGACGACATCCCAAACATCCAACGTGCTGTCACGAAGGCACTAACTGGGATAACTCCAACGGACAACAGTGGGGCCTATGAAGCTTGGAAAACGCGCTGGCAACGTTGTGTCGACGCCCAAGGCGAGTTCTTTGAAGAATATTAACGTTTTGTACAAATCGGATCAATAAATTTGTTTTTCTAGACTGAGTCTCATTACTTATCTACCGCACCCTGTATGTAAACAAAACACCCTGAGTTGTTCCTTTATCACAACAAATCTATAAATGAGGCTGTGTCTTAATAAGGTATTCCTGTATATATAATCTGTATTATTATCAATATAATCGTATCTCTCATTAAAATAGACGCTAAAATTAAGCTCCATCTACCAACAAGGGCCATTAGCCCAAAACCATGGTCTCAAGGTTCACGCTTCTTAGTTTGCCAAAGCTGATGTTGTGGCTTTGTCACTGACCCGAGGCCGCTAGGTTGCGGGGATGGTCAATAGGTGGGGCTTAGTTTTAGCGCCTTTTGACAGGAAATGCAACCTATATTTTATAGATCAATCTCCTCTCTCTCTCTCCCAGCAAAATTTTCATCATCATCAATAATGGAAATAACTTTTTTTCTATTCCTCTGCAGCCCCCTTGGTAAATTCATTCATAAGATTATTTATGTATGGCTTAATAAAGGATTTTGTGTGTTTGTTTCCTGTCTATATAATTCAAGTTGTACTTCATTACCAACCAATACTCTTAATATTCTTGCTAGGATTATCATTTTTAATTAATTAAAAACCTAATTAGGCAATAAAAATATATAATTAAAAACTAAAATTAAAAAAGAAGAAGGAAAAATGAAAGTATCAAACACCCCTGGTAAACAAACCCAAGGAGAGTAATGAGTGACATACCATAGTCATTTTCTTCTCATTCAGGGGTCGTCCAAGAATCTCCATTTGGTTTATATAAGTGTAGTAATTGAAAAACTATTTTAGACACACATGATTCTTTTTTAAAATTAAACAATTTTCTACTGCCCTTACTGCAATGATAATGGGAGTGCCTGGTTCATCAGTGCTATAACCTCCCAGCAGTATCGCAAGTTTAATCTACTATACTTAGAGCATCGACCTCCTCCTGGAGCGTGGTGTGACCTCCTTGGAGTGTTGGGAGGTCACTAGGTCTAACGAGGGAGTTTGGAGCTTGATCTCCCGCCGTCATCCAGGTGAAACCTCTTTAGGGCGGGTGTGTGGCACGAGAGTGCGCCATCCCCATCTGGCCAGGGCACAAAAAAAAAAAATCTACCATACTGCTGTAAATAAACCATGGACCTTTAGATCTTCAGTCTAACGCTCTCCCAACTGAGCTATTTGGGCTAATTGTGTGCTTGTGACATAAATTGTTTTGTCATTCTGAAGTTTGCCTTTTCTAATTTTCCATATGACAATATTATATAGCATCCTGGTTATTCTCCTGTGGTTCCTCTGCCCCCCCCCCCCCCCCCCCCCCAGGGACACCTATGTGGCTACTTAGGGATGACAGCTGTTGTCGCAGACTCCACAAAACCAACATCCTGTATCCACAGCAGGACAAATACATTGTCCAAGTGTAAAGTGACACCATTGAAGAGTGTCATACAAACCTTTGAATAAAGAAACTTGTCGTGTTTACCTTTGGTCTCTTCTAACTATCCTGCAATATTGTAAAGTGTCGTGCACATAGCTTTTGTAAAAGTTTTAAAAAGTTGAATCTATATATAGTTAAACCTGTCTATAGAGTCCCCTCTTGGGACTCACCAAAATAGGGTGCTAGAGAGAGGGGGTGCTATAGACAGGTCACTTTTAATGTAAATCGCATCGTACTACGTATTTAAAATCGGGCGCTATAGAGAGGGAGACGCTATTTAGAGAGGGCGCTATAGACAGGTTTAACTGTATACAACCACAAAAATATATTTATTCCAATATTAAGACAAGTGGTGTTACCATAGCCTCATTGTTATCTCTCTTTATTTTAAAAGTGTGAACAAATTTGGATTGGATATATAGTTAAACCTCATTAATTCACAGGATAGGGAATTCTTGATGAATATTATAGTCAAATGATAAAGCATAATTTGTATTATAGATTATACCTACAAGAAAATAAGACCTAATCCAAATAAATTAATAGTGTGTGACGTTTCAGTAACAGTATTGTTACCATCTTCATACAAAGGAGAATAAAATTATTTTATTCTTTATTAATTTTATTCTATTGTCTAATGATGGTAACAATACTTTACCAAAATGTCATACTATTAATTTATTAGAATTTTGGTCTTAGATGGCAGAGCACCATCTAAAAAGCTCATGTGAGCATGGTCAGGATATGCTTTTTTTTTTTTTTTTTAATACCATCATCCCTGCCCAGAAGTCTTCCTCTACATGGCGGGCGGGGAGAAGCAGCACAAGTAAGGGACTGCCCTGTAGGGTGAAGTACAGCGTCGTGAGCCCCGAGTAATTATATATATCTGAGTGAAATAAAAAGAGGCGGGGGACGATCATATTTAGAGAAGAGGTAAAACTATATAGCAAACATTTATAAAAATCGCTAATCAGCTGCTACATATTAAATAACATTATGTTCGAAATTCATGATGATTGTCTCCCGCTGCTTTTAAAGGACAGTTTTTCATAGGTAAAATTAGCATTTTTACTATTTAGCAACTCTCTGATAAGAGGACACCTCTCTGTAAAAGACACTTTGGCTCTGCAATTAGGTGTCCTTTACAGGAAGGTTCTACTATAGTATCATAATTCCAAGTCTCTTCTTCTTTCTTATCTCCACTCAATCACACTAAGGTATCAAGCTTGTTAAGCTTGAGACTTTTGATAGTGTCTGCCGGGGGAAGAGTAGAGCTCAGCAATGGATGAGTCAATACAGTCAATAATATGTCTTGGGGTTGCCGGCTGAGAATTGCACTTAGTACATAGTGGGAAAACCCTGCAACCATTCTGGAAAGTCATTGCCCGTAGATGACCAGACTTAAGTCTGGAAATCAAAGACTGTTGTTCTCTTGGGAGGACAGAACCGGTGCTTGTCCCTCCTGCTCTGTACCATCATGTGTAGTATTAGATTTCCATTACTGCAGGCATTGGGTTTTGATGGTACGGAGGAGGTCACTTTCGTCTAGTTGGGTGGTAGATTCTCTGGCTTCAGGTAGGCTAAGAGCTCCAGCCTTTTCCAGAGAGTCTGCCAGCTCATTACCAGGAATTCCAACGTGAGCTGGAAGCCATTGCACTGTGATTGAGCTTTTGGCTGGGAGTCGGTTTACAGACTTAGCAATGCTCTTGAGGAGAGGTTCTTGACTGGAGAAGCAGCTTTGAAGGGTATAAATGGCTGCTCTAGAGTCGGAGTAGATTATTATTTTGCTTGGCGAGTTGATGTCTTTTAGAGCAGTATCTATTGCAGAGAGTTCCGATTTATAAACTGAAAAGTGTCTAGGGTGGGAGAGGGAGATTTTTTCCAGAATCTTATCTTTGTAGATAGCAATTCCACTGCCAGACAGTCTAGTTTCAAGTTGGCTACCGTCAGTGTAAATTGTGATGTCGAAGAGGGAGCTATTTTCCTCAATGATTTAGCCAAGAGCTTTAAGTAATTCTGGCTGAGTTTCATGTTTGTGGGGATTGGCTGGTAGATGAGGGAAACAGATGAGTTCTGTGTGGGGGATAGGAAGTTCTGTGTTTGGGATTAATTGGGATGTCTAAAGGATTAGAGTTAGAACTCCGCCTTTGCCAGTCCCAAGCCCGGATGAAAAAGGAGGAGGGGGAGCAGTAACAAGCTCGCTAAAAAACCTGGGCTTAGCTGGCCCGGCTGATAGTACCCTGTAAGGGCTCCTGATCCAGGGATACAGGATGAGCAGCGTTTGTACTCCATGTTAGGAGCGGCTGCACATGGTGTCTGTTCCTCATGTCAGAGGCGGCCCTTTCTTTTGGAGCTAAGTCGGCCTGCCACTGAGTAGTGCTCCCAGTCTTAATGACAAAGGCAGACGCATTTTACTTTACCCAATCATGATGGTTGTCAAATTCCAAGTCTCAATTATTTTAACCATGGTTATAACAATAGCTTAGACCCAAGTCATGTTGTTGGTTAGACTTTATAGGCATTCAGTGTCTTCCATAGGAGTGTTTGGTCCTTTCTTATCCTGGCAACCCATGTATAAACACACCATGGAGATAAGAAAGAATGGCATGGAGTTAAGTAAAATGGGTTCTTGAGTATATTTAGATGAAGTTGTTGTTATAATGAAAGTAAATACTACGATGTACTAGAGCGCCATCTGTTAGCAAATTATAAAACTATTTTAGAGGCGTAATATTCTTTTTAAAATAAAACAATTTCTACTGTCCTTACTTTAACTTGTTTTATTTTAAAAAGAATATTACGCCTCTAAAATAGTTTTATAATTTGATAACAGATGGCGCTCTAGTACATCGTAACATTATTGTTCTAATAAAAGACACAATTTGACATTTGCGGAAGAGCGATTGCTCGAAGCATATTATATATTTATAATTATATTTAATTCTGCTGTCCTAAAAGCTTATGTCCATAGTTCTTCTAAAATACCCATTCCAAGAGTCTTAAAACAGTCACCTATAAAAGGAAGTTCCAAAAATGCAATATAACAGCGGTATGGTAGATTAAACTGGCGAAACCGCTGGGAGGGTTCACCACTGATGAGCCAGGACCTCCCTTTAATTTTTCCATCGCAGTAAGGACAGTAGAAATTGTTTTATTTTAAAAAGAATATTACGCCTCTAAAATAGTTTTATAATTTGATAAAGTAAATACTGTAATATAAATAAATAAAGAATAGTAAAAAAAATAAATAGTGAACATGAAGAAGTGGGTTTAATAGAGTACAAGTTGACTGGAACAAACCTGAGGCAGTTATCAGCAAAAATAGATATCTGCAGATTTTTTTGGAATTGTTCTCAAGAGAGGAAGGGTGCTAGGATTCATTGATAAGATCTTGAATCAGTTCATAGATAACTTTTTATAAGTTATTTTTTAGCTTTCCTCAGTGATAAGTCACAATTTGGATTATAGATTAGAAACACAAGGTAATAAGACCTAATAAATAGTGCGTGACATTTCAGTAACAGCGTTGTTACCAAAACATTACACGCTATTTATTTATTTGGATTTGATCTTGTTACTTTTAGAATTATAATCCTCTGTATCAATTAGATTTATCAAATATAAATCTCCGAGGATAAATTTCTTTATTACACTTATAACGAGTTTACAAGCTTTCGGGTTACCTGTAGAAGTGTCGTTTAAAACCTGAAGCTTGTAAACTTGTTAAAAGTGTAATAAATAAACTTAACCTCTGAGATTTATATTTAATTAATCTTGTTACTTTAGCTTTCTTCAATGTAAAAAGATCAAGTATGGTTGGTTTTTGAAGCAGTGTTTAAATGGGGTTAATGTGGTTTACAAATCTCTTTTATACAGGGAACAAACAAACTGAAGGAAACATTTTATTTCACTTGTTTTTAACAAAATATATTTACAAAAATATATATGATTAAAAAATAAAAGAATCACATACACCAAGTTTTCGATGAAGATTAAAAAGAACTAAAAATGTAGAATACACAAAAAATAAAATTAGGGAAAAAAATAATGTAAATTAAGTCTTCCCCCCCAAGTTGTTTGATATTTGAGTAAAATTTGCATTGAAAGAATAGCCTGCAGAATAACAAAATAGGCTCTTTTATAGAAAAAAAAAAGAAGCTTAAAATGGAAAAAAATTTAGAATCCTAATTTTAAATCACACTCAAACCTGTCTTTATTATTTTCCCTTGTTAAGGAATTGGGGTAAGGAACTGTTTCTTCCTTATCAAATGTGTCTGCCAAAGTTGACCATTGTTAAAACACCAAACAAAATTGATGAGAGCACAGTTAAAGTAGAACATCCATTAGAGGACACCTCTCTACAAAGGAGTTTTCATTTACAAATTGCCATTTTTACTATTTTGACACTCTCTGGTAAGAAGACACCTCTCCCTAAAGGACACTTTAGTTCTGCAATTAGGTGTCCTTTACAGGGAGGTAGTTCTACTGCAATAAGTTTTGTCAAATAGATATCCACCATAAATTTTGCACAAGTTGTATATATATATATAAATGCCAGCAGGTTGGGTATGTAAATAAAGTACAGTAGTGCTATATTCTAGGCCAAAACTGTACTAGAATGGTATAAGCACAAAACAAGCCAATACAATATTAGAGGAGAGTCTGGTATATTCAACTAGCAAATCACTGAAGTTTGTTCACCATTGATGAGCCAGGCCCTCCCAATAGTTTTCTTAACACAGCAGGAAA